CAGGGGGGGCACCCAATTAAAAGGGGGGGTGCGGAAGGGGTGACGTCCTTGGATCCTCCCCCCCAACTACCTTCGCTTGGGACTCCTAGCCCACCGGAGACGTTCGGGCGCGCGCGGACTTGTCATTTTGGAAAGAACGAACTGCAAGCTGCCAGGCCAGACTTGAAGCCCTTTCCTGGCCGGGGCGCTGCGAGAAAATCCCTTCGGATTGGGACGTGGTCAACTTTGGGTGCGACCAGTGTGGACGTGGGTCCGGGCCGCGCGCCGTTCAACCACGCATTCTGCTTGTTTCTGCTCGCGAGGCCAGCTGGTGAGCAAGGTCGGGCGCCGCGAAAGCTATGGCGGCACATCCCGTTTATCAACGGCGCGATCGACAGCATGGTCCTGTACGCCACGGACCGCCCGATCGACACGGTGTCGCTCGCAAGGAGCATTGGCGTTGTCGAGCTCTCTGGCACCCGTAAGGGGCACGGCCGGCTAGCAAAGGGCGCGACCAGCTTCTGTCCGTCGGCGGCGCTCGCGGCCAACGGCACCACTGCTCCGTCTATCCGCCACCGCCATCTCTCCCCCCATCTCGGCCCCCGCCCTCGCCGCCTAGGGCGTGGCAGACGGTGAACGAACGAGCTAGCATGGTGCATGCAGGGAGAGAGACGACTCTTTGTGAGGACCTCCGCCCCCTGATCCCTGTGAGGACCTCGTGCCACTAGTGACGCTTGTATGGTAGTCTCCCGTCGCCACGCAGCCAGCCGCCACAGTCAACCCCGCGCCAAGCGGCCAGCAGTGCATGCGCTGAAGACGTGGGCACCTCGCTTGAAGGAGAGGAGGGCAGCCGTGTGAGTGGTGTGCGGTTTGTATTGTCTATTGTGAGATAACCAGGAGAGTGGAGAGATAATTAAAGCCGTACAGTATCCGGACGCGAACATATTTGTTTCATAAATAATTTGCCAGTTTGTTTCCAAGTTTCCCGTCCTCAATTCTCTTTCGCTCACACTGGGCACGGGAATCTGGTGCACATGCCCCACATCTTGAAATGCGAAAAGTCAACTCGGCGTTCTGAGTTGAAAAACGTGCAATCTGAGTGATTTTTTACAACTCAAGATGCCCTCAGCATCTCAAATTGCGTGTCGTCAAGAGACACAATCGCCGCACTTGCAGTATAGTACACACCGGCGCCACGTCGGTGAAGACGAGAGCCGCCCCGGGGGCCGCAACCTCCGTCGCCGCCGCGAGGCCCCCGACGTGCGACGAAACTCGACACGGCCTCCCGTCCGAGCTCCGCTCCGACGAGCCCCGCCGAGATCCTCCGCTCCCGCCACGCGCCGCGGAGCCCGAGCCGTGACGCGTCACGAGGCACGATCCGTGGCAGTACAGCTGCAGAATGCGCACTACACAGGTCGCTCGGCTGGGATAAGCACTACGCTCGTCCACCCGGTGCTATCCGCGCCGCGCCCGCAGAGTCAGGGCCGGGGGAAGAACGGATACCCCATCCCCCACAGGAACCTCGCCCGGTGTCCAATCTTGAGGTGCAGCGGCCGCAGCAGCTCCTCCACCTCCTCCTGAGGCATTGCGAGCAGCGAGAATGCGTCGACCACGCCAGCCGCCTCAAGGCCGGCAGCGAATGCCTGCCGCACCGCCGCATTGCCGTGCAACGACAGCGGCAGCAGCGCCAGGCTGAGCTCGGAGAGAGAGCAGGAGCTAACAGCCCCCGGGACGGGCGCGAGGACCGTCCCGGTGACTGCATGGGTCCGTCGAGCGGTCCGGAGCCACTCCGCCCGCGCCTTGCCCTGCTGCAGCCGTGTCAGCCTACGTGAGGGAGGGTGAGCTGAGTGCCACCCGCATGGGCCGAGGACGGACGATCTACGTGAGGGAGGGTGAGCTGAGTCCCACCCGCATGGGCCGAGGACGGACGATCCCGCTGCCGCCCCTGGCGCGCTGTGCATACATTGCCTTCCAGCTCAGCGCGCAGTCGCAGACGCAGCCGTGCGCTCCACAACCCGGCTGGTCGCGCATTTGGGACACGCCTGCAGGGACACAGGCCGCCCGCCATTCCTTGTCGTCCGGGGGGAGCCGTGCCTCGTGAGCCCAGGTGGAGCAGACGGCCCCCCCCCGTGCAAAGTTCTCGATTCCCGCGACGCAGCCCAGAGAGCGAACGATGTGGGGGGACTCCAGCATTCCGCTGTTGCTACCCGCAACCATTTTGGGGGGGGCCCCCATGTGGAGGCGGGGGGCCGAAGGGGCGCTTCCCGAAACCGACGCAAGTTTTCCGTCCGCCTCCACGTGGACCAGTCAGGGTCTTAAGACCCCCCCCCCCCCCCCCCGCTTCAGAAGGGCGGCCAAAAGGCACTCTTTTTCAGTAGACCACAGTTTTCAAAATCCCACAACAGTTCCTCGCGCGGGCGCATCTCGCACCCTCTCGAGACGCGACGGGGCCGCTCAGCGCGCCTTGGCCTTGACTCCGTCGCGGGGCTGCTTGCCGCAGAGCGCCCTCACCGCGGGAAGCTTGATGCCTCCCGCCTCGAGCCCGAAGCGGTTGACCGTGTCGACCACGTTTGCCTCGACGGCTTGCCGGCAGAAAAAGGGCGGGTTCCAGGCGGCGTGGACGCCCAGCAGCGTGTAGACGCACCGCTCGTAGCCGCCGATCGCATCGCCGGCGTGCAGCACGCCGACAAGGCAAGCAAAGGCGGAGAT